GTGAAGCAACTTCTTCATCATCATCTCCTGTATCATCAAGATCATAAATATCATCATCTAAAACCATCATAAATATACCATTCTATCAAGACTAGTAACACTATCTATTGAAATATCTGCGATCTCTAGGCCAGTCATACCTACCCTTCCTTCATTTTCACAAAATGCTAATGTCATCAATGTAACCATTAATTACGCTGGTGTCAATTCCTATGGAATAAATTCTGATGAACAGAATTAGGCAGTTTTTTTATTAATATATAATTAATGATATTAATAGCAATATTTGCTAATAAACCTAGCTATTTTTTTTTATAACTTGTAATAGAATATAAAAGCACATGTAATATTATTAATAGATACATTTGGTAGACATACGTTTTGAAAATCAATAAAATTCTTTATTGGATAAAGTAATATAAAATAAACTATATGTAATATGAGTGAACTATTATACTTTATATGTGATCACGTGAAATTTAGATCTTAGACCTGATACTAAAGTTTCTGCTCGAGTCTAGATAAAAATACCTCTATCCTGAGCAGATATGTTATCTGGATATACTATACTTATGAAAAAGTTTGGCCAATACATGCTGTATCATATAATAATCGTGAAGACTCTTCTCACTTTCAACTAATAGAAGTGGGATCTACTAGCTAATTATATGATAAAATCTTTCTGGTAAATTCTACAATAAAGTAATATCACATTACCTATATACGGCATACATTTGGTTAAAACGACTCGCAAACTAACTTTATTTATTAATCATAAGAAATAGCAAAGATAAACTAAAAAACATTTTAATATGTGACGCAATAATCACGTAGCGTAAACCATAATTTACGTGATCTGCAAAAAATTTATGATTCCCGAGTAAAATGAGCTATAATACTTTTGATTTGAGTACCTGTAAGCTTTGAAATATTATCCATATTATAGGATTGAACCCTTTTAACTTTTTTAATCCCTATTTTACTAAACACTTCAAAAATATTTCTTGCCTTCTGTGTCTTCTTACGTAAATTTTCTCTTGTAATATTTGAAAGATGCTTTAAAATTGCATTATATACCTGGGTCCTAGCCTGTTGATCTTTAACCCTCTTATCATTATCTTTAACATCCTTAACACTTTTTTCAAATCATTCAGCATAGTAGTACCAACAGTGAATTTTCTCTTGATAAACTTGAGTTACATGCTTTTCAGCCTTAATTGCTTTTTGGAATAATTGAGCTAAATTCTGCAAGATCAAACCCCAGAATCCTCATTCTCATTATTAGTTTTGGTAGTCTTCCTCTTAATAGGTGTAAATAATTTATGTAATAACCCTCGAAATCTTTCCTGTTCACAATTAGTTCTTGGAAATGTTTCTCTTGATAATCGGATGTGTATTAGCAATGTCAACTTCAGTTATTTGATTAGTTGAATTATCCATCCTTCAATCATAGATTTCAGGGAATAAACAGAATGAAAGGTAAGTGTGATTACTACATATTCCATTTTCACTGCATTATCTACCTTATTTGAGAACTATGATTATTATTCATATCATCATCATTTTCGGCATCATCGATGATATCTGATAGCTCTGATATCTCTTTCACATGCGCAATTAGACTTGTCGCTTGATCATGCGTAATAACTTTGGTTCTCTTTCCCCCAAGACTCACAAGAGAATCTTCGTCTTCTATAGTATTATCACTTAAGGGATCTTTTTTTTCTAAAATTCTTATTCTTAGACACCATATGATACTTATCAGAAGCTAATGTAAGTTCTTCCCTAATAAGTTCGATAGATAAAATACAACTAGAAATAGAGCATAAAGGAAAATGTGTTTCTAATCATACAATATATTTTTCATGACATATTTGATGGTATATATATCCACATGATAATACTGTGAATGAATGAAGTAATAAGACAAGAATTTCTTTATCGCAGAAGTGACAAGGATTAAGTTTTGGGATATGTTCATCAGTTATTTCAGAAGTGTTTCTTAGGAAATTTAACAAAAGTGCTTTAAATTAAAAAACTTTTGTATTATCCACATAAATTTCTGAAGGACTTGCTGGTAGTTCGCTAGTCATACTGTTAAATTATAAAGAAGATTTCTTGCACTTTTCTTCCTATATAAATATTTTTTATATATCAAGACTAAAATGAAATTAGCCTTACCTAAGAAAATTTATTTCAGAAATAAGCGTCTCAGAAATGAGCATTTCAGAAATAGACATCTCGGAAATAAGCATCACGGAATGAAGATCACGAATAAAATCAGGATCAATGATGAAAAGATATGTATAATACCAATTAGCTTATATTGTTTGATTTTTGCCATAGCAGATAAAAAAACAATCTCACCTTATCTTTATGTTATAATCCTTTTCAAACATATGTCTCAAAAAAAGACTACTAAACTTCCAGTTAAAGCTACGATTATCGCAAAACATGAAAGCCCCTAAAACAAATATGGTAATCCCTCCTTCAATCAAAAATCTTCAGGAGAAAAGCTTTCCAATTATTTTTATATATTAACTCTAAAAAATATTTCACTAAACAGCTAACTTATCTCCTGTAGTACTAAAACTATAAGTGAGGAATTTATTTTCAAATTTCAGCTAATATTGCATCAATTTCAACTAACATGAAATCCATTTCTATTGTCTGAGACTTTCTTTTGTCTTAGTGTTGAGGATCAGGTTAGGCACTGGCAAAGAAGTTTGTGTTTGGAGTTTTGAACCATTTGCCTCGGAACAGATTCAGATTCATGGTCAGATTCAGGACTAGAGTCTATCACCTCTAGTGTAATTATTACCTGCATCAAGACAGTTTAATTCTTGCCTCAGTGCGATTTTCAAAAAATGTTTAAGTTGTTCTAAAGCTGGATTTTTACCACCATGGATTCTGAAAGCATGCTTACATCTATATTCTCTTAACTCCCCTAGGAGAGACTTATAAGGCTTTTGCTTTAGAAATTCATTAAAAGGTGTACCATTTCATTTTTCACTTTCTGTAAAGACAGGATCAGTAATTTTCTAGCTTTAATAGTATTTTGAATCTAAATGAGTAATTCTTTTGCGCGTTCAGGATTTTTTTCCATAAATAGGAATGGTCAGGACACAGAATTCTTCTTGTTTTTTCCTCTACTCTTGAAATAACCTATATAGTACTAAGAATAGCCTTCTTCATATCATGCTGGAATTTTCGATGGATTCAGTTCATAATGATTAATCTGAAGTGATCTTACTTCCGCAGATCTTATACTCAACATTATAATTACATCTGCGAGATCCTCTCTAGTAGAAGTTTTAGAAGTATTAATATTTGAAGCCTTTTAAATACTCTTGCTAAGTAACAATACATAGGAATTCTATCTGGATTAGCCATTTATTTCTTAGTTTGTTTCTTTTGAATTTTATTAGACTCTTAAATATGTTCTTGATCTTTAGCAAAGTTATTAATAATTGCAGGATCTACACCACCTTCTGCTAACTTCATATTGAATATTAACTGACACAAGATACCAGCAACGATTTCATTTTCATTATTACTTTTTGGATCCAATTTCCAATAATTAGCAACAATATCTATAAAATCACCAGTTTTAGCGTAGTATTTTGCCCTTTCCTCTATGGTGAGTTTTCCTTTTCTCTTATCTAACATGAGAGCCTCTATCTGCTCTTTACTAAATGAGCGTCTAGTAAGGGCAACTTTAATACACCTGCGGACCATCTAATCAGGAAGTAAAACACCCAGTTTAGAAGCATGTTCACTTAATTGTTCTGGAGTAGAGTCAGCTGAAAAATTATACTTTTCTAGTAACTGATCTAAAATGCTGATATAGTTATTAGTTTTGGATTTTTGTGTCTCAGTTTTTGCGGTAGTCATATCAATAAACTAGATTGTAAGTGTTACCTAGTTATACTAATCTATTTATTTTTCAATTTGAAAAAATTCCTTAATCAGACGCTAAAGCAAAGGAATTTTGAATATCTATAATAAAAGTGAAGATAAAGTTTTAAGATTATTAATATCAAAATTACCTCGTATGGATCATCTATCCTGTCAATATATCAAGAAAGATGGAATAATTTGTGGGAAAGAATGTTAGCATGCTTCAGAATATGCCAGACATTATAAAGCTTATCCTAAAATAATATGCTCTGTCTGTAATGAGAAAACCTATTTCAATACTAGAATCTGTAGCATACATGGTGGAATTTATAAGAATACTTGGTATGAAGGTAAAATGGAATCAGATATGGGTCGAGACACCTAGCTGAAATGCTGAATATTGGACTAAAGTACTATTTTTCCTGCCCATAAAATTAAAGAGTTCCTGAATCTCGTTATCTGTTTTTAGCTTATATAGTGGAAGCTCTGGAGTACCTTTATCTCCAAAACCAGTATCATTATATGGCTGATGATTAATTTTATATGAATATTCCCAAACCTGCTATTCCTTAGAACCTATTCTTTTCCAATTGCTTTTAACTGTATATCCACACCAATTTCCAGCTATTGCATTAATTGCTTTTATAGCTGATTTAAGGTCTAGTGTTTCTTTTGCACAAGACTTAAATCCAAACAATAATAAAGACTGATTTGAATTTCTATAAACCTTTCACATGATTGCATAAACGCTTCTGATACCATACTACTAGAAAGGTTACACTCATCTTTTTGTATTACCTTCCACTGTTTAGATAAATATGCCTTTCATAAATCATTTGATGACTGATCTAAGGAATTGTGCAATTCCTTCTACTATATAACTTCTTTAATTTTTAGCCCTTCTAAAGCTTTTATTGCATTTGAATCTTGCTTTTAGAATATGCCAGTCTTCTAAAATATTATAAAGGTTCAGAATTATTAATTTTTTTTACAAAATTAGCATTACAGAGATTAATTCATTTGACATCATTCATGCTTCAGTCCCGATGATTATCCTTATCTCCAATATCTCCTGAAGCATATATTCTCTACAAATAATGTCATTGCAATATCATATTATCATTGAATGAGCATGTAGAAATTTGTTTAAGAATTTCAGCATCATCCGAAGTGATATCAGGTGCATTGGCTATTAATTCTGCATCAGAGCTTTTGATATTTTCTTCAACCGCCTTAATAATATTAGAAACTATTTTCCTATTAGCTATAGTACATTCTGCAGAAATAATCTCTGATATTCAGCCTCAATATATGTTTCAACTGTTGAAGATGTATCAAAAGCATAATAATCAGCAATTTTATCTCATTTCCAATATCCTTTTACTACTGTCGGTAAATCAATAGGCCTTAAAGCAGAAAGTCCAATATTAATAAGATTACGATTTGGCTCTTAGAATATTTTAAAAGACTTTTTACTATTATATAAAGAAATTATGCGTTGTAGATAATCCTGAATTCAATAAAGCATCTGTGTAAATGTACTCCTATTTTAATATTACTAATCCCTATAATAGCGTCAAAATGATTAGGAATTTCAAAGGAGATACCAGTTTCTACAGTACTGGTGTAAATTACACAGTTGAGAGAACTTCAGGTAGCATTAATATTAGTGAAATCCTCTTTTCATTGTATTCTGTCTATTTGGCCAAAATAAACACAAGTTAAAATAGGTGAAACATCTGATTTTTGCAATGTAGAAGCTTGGTTTGCTAAAGCTCAGGCTTTTTTACATGATATTATTGCAAAAGCAATACATTTACCTTCTCGAAGCATCGTAAGACCTCTTCTCATAGCCTCTGAACCTTTATCTGAATTATAAAGAATTTTAACAGTTTCGCTTATACGTGGTTGATATTTATTATCGAAAATTCATATATCATTATTTCGATATTGTTTTAAGAAAGCTATAGTAGAGTCATTTGCAAAAGCATTCATAGCAATAATATGGATAGCTGACTTTAACAAATCTTGCAAAGCATTTTCAGATTTTCGTGCATGAATTCTACTGGACATTTAGCACATAATCACATTGATTTTATCTAAAATAACTACATATGAACGCCTTCTGTAAAGCTCAATACAATGTGTGCTTTCAACCTGAATGATAATAACATCCCAATCACTTATAGCTAAACTACCTTCAACTTCTTGATATTGGCATACACGAAGTCTCAAACTATATAATATTTCAACTTTAGCTTTAATCTCATTGCTAAGAGTTTTGCAATATGAAATCCAGCTAAAACAAGATAAATCTTCTCTATTCCCAGCTAAAGATTTAAGAATTTCTTTTAAAGCTTTTGTTTTACCAGTATCTACAGGTGAACGGATAAGAGTTGTATTACATACAGAACTTAAGAAGTCTGAATAAGCTTCTGAAGCCTTTTCCATCTCTTTTACATTGATATTTTTTCTAGACAATTCAGGGAGTAAACGTAATTTTTTACAACATTAATTAATCTGTCATTCAATTCTTATTTAGGTCTTTCTTTTAACTTGATTATACCTGATGCTTCCCCAAATGCTAATCTCTTATAATTTGGTTTATATTGTTTTTACTGGTAGCATTTAAGTATGAAGTACCTATTACTTCGAAAAAATCCATACAACTGATCTTTTTCGTGAATAATATTGCAAATGGGGTATGCTTTTAATGATCGGACTTGAAAGTTGACAAAACCTTTTCTAATGTTACTAACCTCAAGCCATTCATATTTTGCAATAACTAAGTTAGCTCCTTTACTTAAAGCAGTTTTATCTTCAATATGCTGAAATATCTCCTCCTTTCTGGCTTTTTAGGAGAAAATGTTCAAGACCAGATTTTAAAAACATCTTTAGGTTGAACTAAATAATCCTCTAATTTGCAATACCCTTTTTAACAGAAGAAACTGCAAGTCTTTTAACTCTATCATTCTTTGCTGATCCAAGAAGACAAAGACTAAAATGTGATTTGTAAAGCATGAGATCAATAAATTCAGAATATGGTTTTTCAACCCTATCAGCAACTTTTTCTACAAAACCTCTGAGATATCTATAGTCAATAAAGCAAAAATCAGAACATACAATATGCTAATTACATTTATCATATTTAAACAAACTAGCTAAAGCGAAAGCATTTAAAGTTATGAGATGTTTTAATTTAGAGTATAAGATATCAGCGCAAGCAATTAAGTTTCTGGATAATAAATCATTATGAGAAATTTTATATCTGTCTAAGGAAGGGAGTGGAGGATTTGTGGGATCAAACTTCTGTCTCACATCAATATCAAGAATTAGGCGCAAAGGCAGGTTCCTATTGATGCATTCATGAAAATCAGGTAATTCATAAATCTCAGAAGGATAATCAACTAGTGTAAAACCCTTTTCAGATACTCAAATGATATATTTAGAAAAAATCTCTTCAGAATGATAAGCACCTAAAAAAGTGATATTATCTTTAATATTAGTTTCCAATAAATGATAAAAATATGTATGATCATTATAGCCCGACTCAAAATCAAGATCTGCTATATCTGAAAAGAGCTTTATTGCTTCATTTATTTCTTCAAGATTGGTTCAATTTTTCTTTGCGCAAGTAGCATGATAAGTATGTGAAGGAAGTTAATATGAAATTACATACAAAATACCAAATCTTTAAAATTACTATTTTGAGCGAATATAATTGTTAGCAAAATACTAGGTCAGTAGTGATATACAAAAGTAGTCAATGTAGTAATACCCAAAAGTAGTTAATGTGGTAGTATCCAAAAGCAATCAGTGCAGTAATATCTTAAAGTATCTCAGAATAGTAACTATATAGTAACGAGATCGGAAAGGTAAAAATATGCAAAATATAGGAAAGAGAGAATAAATTTTATGCATCTGGATCACCAACCAAAGATATCCTAAAGTAGCAACTATATAAGAAAGGGTTCTAGGAATGCGAGAGTGTAAAACAAGATATAAATTAGTAGTACACCAAAGTAGAATTATATATAGGAAAGAAAATAAGAAGTTATGCTTTGGTATACTACCAATGATAGGCAAGAAAAGGGTCAGATAGGCAGGAAGGTTCAAGAGAATACAAGAAAAAAGGGTATGAAAGATCAGTATAATAATATTCAAAAGTAATTGATATAGGAGTACGTCTAAAGTAACGACTATACGAGAAAGAGTCCTAGAAATATAAGGATGAAAAATAAAGTATAAATTTGGTAGGCCACTCAAGCAGAATTATATATAGGAAAGAAAAGAGAAATTATGCTTGAGTGGCCTACTAATGATAGGCAGGAAAGAGGTCGGAAAGGCGAAAAGGCTTAGAAAAATGCACGAAAAAAGTATGAAAGCTATGAAGCCTGAACCAATTCGGCACTTCATGCCTTACCCGGCATTTAAAAATATAGCATACTTTTAGTGGGCCAGTGGTAGTATCCAAAAGTAGGACTATATGAGAAAGAATTCTATGAAGGCTCAGGCGAAAATTAGGGTATAAATTTAATAGCATCCAAAGTTAAAATTATATATAAAAAATAAGAAATTCTGCTTTTGCGTGCTACCAATGATAGGCAAGAAAGAGGTTAGAAAGGTGAAAAGATTCAGAAGAATATACGAAAAAAGGGTATGAAAGATATAAATTCTGAACCAATTTGGCACTTCGTGTCTTATCCTCAGCAACCAAACAGATTATAAAAGGTTGGATTGCAAGAATGACATAATATTAACACTTCGCATAGTTCTCACCGATAATCAAAAATAGGTGAATAGATTGCAACACATCTTTGACAAATAGATGGATTGCAAATTTGACACTTCATGCCTCATTCGGTAATCAAGAAATGGCAAATGAGAGGAAAGCAACTATGTGAGAGTATTCCAGCATAAGAACAATATCATATGACTATAGTGCAGTAAGATGCAGTATTAATTTACTTAATTTCAGCTAACACTATTTCACAATTTCAGTCAGAACTTTGGATATAATATTTTGACACCTAAGCTAGCATAAAATTAGTAAACTAATAGAAACTCTCTAGTTTCCTGCCAGTTCTATGACAGTTTCAGGAGAGTTCTATGATACTAGCAGGATGCTATCACAATGCTATCACAATATCAAATTGGATTCTCAAATCACATGCCCAAAAGATCGATCAAAGTTATACCATAGAGCCGGCCAAAATTAATTGCAAATTCACTGCATTACCTGACGCATTTTTTTATCGCAATTTGACATTTTAACAGGCAATCAAGCAGGCACAAAAAAGAAGCATAATCAATATCTTAACAGGCCATCAAACAGGCCTAAAAGCAGAAAAACAAGTGAATAGCTCTTTAGAAATAAAAGGAACGCAAAACATTGTAAACACATGAATAGTTCCTTAATAATAAAAAGAGTACAGAGTAATAAAATCAAGTGGATAGCTACAAGGTAACAAAAAGACCACAGAACAATGAAAACAAGTGGGTAGCTATAATGTAATAAAAAAATCACAGAGCATCGAAAATGCCAACTAGGTAGCATTATACTCATAACTAGATAGCATTATAGCGTAATTAGAGAGCACTCTTATAAGAGTGCTTTCTAGTAAAATATTAAATTTACCAATATTCAAATTGTATTTTTTCTACTAAATATAATATCATAACTTTAGCTGATAAATACTAGAATTATTCAAAACTTTAAGATATAATTTGAAATTTTAATATTTGGTATATAAGATTTTATTATTTTTTCAAAAATATATATTACAGTGGCTTACAAAAGAAAACGCAAGTAGAGTTGCTTGCTTTTAAAAGCTTATAACTCACCAACACGAATGCTAGAAACATGGTTTTGTATTTGTTTTAAACCTCAAAACCTAGCTAATATTCAGTAAATATTTGAAGTGCGATTAATTAAGACCAATTTTACGCAATTTAGCGATTTATATCAAAATTTCTTACTTAATGAAATTTAAGTGTAGAAAATTTTTTTAGTAGGTCGACTACCCAAAAACTGATACTGTATTCAGATTCTTCTCAGTGCCGCGATTCTAACAAACTAAAATTTGTCCAAAAAATCAGCGAAAAATTGATAAAGAAGATCATCGCGATATTATCAATTTTTCACTGATCTACTGATCCGATTTGGACGAATTTTAGTTTGTTAGAATTGCAGCACTGAGAAGAATCTGAATACAGTATCGGTTTTTTGGTAGTCGGCCTACTGAAAAAAATTCTACACTTAAATTTCATTAAGTAAGAATTTTTGATGTAGATTGCTAAATTGCGCAAAATAGGTCTTAATAATCGCACTTCAAATATTTACTGAATATTAGCTAGGTTTTGAGGTTTAAAACAAATACAAACCCATATTTCTAGCATTCGTGATTGGTGAGTTATAAGCTTTTAAAGGCAAGCAACTCTACTTACGTTTCTTTTGTATAACTGAATTATATTTATATATTTATAGATATATAGTAAATTAAATACAAATAATTATATATCTAATATTTAATTAAACAATTTGATCAAGATATTGATATGCATAAGTAAATAATTTTATTTTAATTGTTTTATTGATTTTATATAAAATTAATAAAATTTTTAATATAAAACTAAGTTGAATATTAAATAAGCTATTAAATTTATTGCTAAAACTTAAAAAAATGTAGAAAAATAAACTATATATAACTGTTAGAAAAAAAACTGAAATTGTTTTTAATTTTAATTTTGAATCAATTTAAGAAAAATAAGTATTTATACAATTAAATTTAAATCTACTTAATGAAATTTCTGATATATTTCCAACAATTTTAACTAATAAAATTGTAATAATTTAATAACTATATTTATGACAAAACTGTTTACTTTTTAAAGAAATCTTGATAATACACAAGTTATAGATTTAGTGCAAGATGATAAAGAAGTTTCTGTAAAAGATGATCTGATAATAAAGAGGAATTAATTCTGAAAGTATTATCAAAAGAAGCTTTTGATATAATTAAAAATGTAATTATTTTTTTATGAATAGTAACCTATTGATAATAAATGTAAAA